ATTTTCTGTTGCATATTGATGCATCAGATGCGTGTTTGAGAGCAGAGATCAGGCAGCTGGGATCAGTCTGATTACTACACCCCATATACTAATTGAGCAAAGCACTGACAAGGGCAGAGAAAAATTATGGCGTGACTGAAAAAGGGCTGATGATTGTGGTTGTTGCTTTCAATAAGCTGAGGCATTATATTCTGGGACAATGCACCACTGTCTACACTGACCAAGCTCCTTTAAAAGGATTGTTGAAGCATCCCGAAATGGTGTCATCAAGGGTAGCGCGATGGTGCATGATTCTTGCGGAGTACGATTTTGATATCATGTACCGGCCTGGGAAACTAAACGAAAATGCTGATGCTCTCTCGAGATTTCCCACGATTCAGGAAGAGGAAGATGCAATTAATGAGGATTTGGATGAGATTGGTTGTGGGGAATGGCAGTGACGAATGGTATGACGACATGCAGAGGTACATCGCAACTGGAGGCTTTCGACCAAAAATGCCAAAAAAGATCAGAAATTTATCAAGCGCCAGGCTGAAATTTTCCCGGATATCCATGGGAAGCTATACCACAAGAATTATGTGGGCTATCCGTAACTTTTGGTGCACCTGAAGGACAAAAAGCGTGTTCTCAGTGGCGTTCGTGATCATGCGGGCTACTGTGGTGCATGACTCTGACACAACAGATAAGGTCATACTGGTTGCCTACTATGGCAATAGATGTCGGTAACAACTTCAAAACCTGTGAAATCTATCAAAAATACGGCCCAAATGTGAGCCCAGCGAAATCAGAAACGTGGCTGGTATTGGAGCCATTTGAGGGTATTGCATAGGACTTTATGGGCCCCTTCACACCAGTGGGTGATTATAGGTTTCTGCTAGTTGTTGTAAACCGTGCAACAAGGTGGTGTGAAGTAATACCATTTGCAGCCGTGGATCATGACCACGTGGTGATCATGCTGATTGGGATTGGAGCCCGATTTGGCATCCCCAGAATCTGCCTTTCTGACAGAAGAATGGCATCCAAAGAGCAACATCTTCGGCAGGTGTCACGTGATCTTGGGATAGCATGGGTTTATTCACCTACTTAATTGCCTAAGAGCAATGGGCTGGTTGAGCGCACAAGCCATGAGTTGCTGGATCGCTTGAGGAGGCTAATTAATGGACGGAGCGAAGTGTGGATACATGAGCTGGGGCGCGCAGTTCTGGTTGCCAACATTCGGATTGTTGAGTCAACGAACCGCTCTCCTTTCGAAGCTTTGATGGGATATGCACCACAGCGAACATGAGGTGGCAGTACCACTGCCCCGGGTAGAATCTTTAGCGGAATGCTGGAGAGAACCGAAGGCTGAAGAATTACCGCAGAGAATCGATGAACTGCAGTTGCGCCATGATGAGATTGATGCAAATCCAGCAGCTGTGATGAAAGGAAAGGAAGAAACCACCAAAACGGCGCACACAAGGTTCAGTTCCAACCAGGCGAAAAGTATGCTTGCGCAATACTGTGAGGTTCAAACATGGCCGGAAATTGGACGCTGACTGGCTTGGACCGTATCGCATTTTGCGTCGCCTCTCTGATCAGAGGTACGAGATTGACTGCAAAGAGCAAGGTGCTGATTCAGAAGAAGTCCATTTTGACCTCAAGGAATTCATCGAACAGAAAATATAAAGTGGCAGCGATGGGAAGACCGCGATGACCTGTGTGAACAAAGTGCATGCAAGAATTCTACATTGGCTTGATCACTGAAGTAAAGGGCTACGAAAAGGGCTGAACGGTTTTTGATTATTGTAATATTAAGGATTCGAGAATACGCTGAGATACCAAGATTAAAGTTAGATGAGATGATGGTGTTTTAGAGTGCACACGAAAGATTGCGACGACGGCGTTTGCGATTGAAAGCAGTGGGGCTGCATGTTGTAACCAGAACTGATTGAGTATTATTAACAACTGAATGCATGAAAAGATGATGAAGGACTAGGAATTGCGTTAAGAACGTTGATGAACCGACGGAATATAAAGGACAGAGCACCTGTTGTCCTTTTGCCTCGGCTGTAAGCCGTTGCCGTGGAGTCAAGCAAACGATTCCCGTTCAGGGATCGCCACCCATCGATCTTGCTTGCCTTCGTCAGCATCAAGAATGGGCGCAATTACCGCTCCAGCCGATTTTTCCGACCATAATACGGCAAAGGATTGGTGACCATCTTCAGTGAATCAAGGTGTCGAGAACGCAGAGCAATTGAGAAGCGGTGCAAAGAGCAGACTTATGTTCACGGCAAACCGGGATGTTCTGTTGACAGAAAGAATACATTGGATATGATGAATGAAGTTCACCAGCAAGAACAGACATTTAATTAATATCAGAAGCTTCGGTTATACGAGCTTCTGCGCAGGCGAGCGATGACCTTCGCCATGGCGGAAATTTCTTCCCAGTCATTGAGTCAATTTGCGTGCGAAATAGGATCCGCATGCCTCAGCTGAGTGTTGAGTTGAAGAGATGAAATTTGTGCGGCTTACCTTGTGTCATGCACAACATGCAACATTAGAGAGAAACTCTGAAACCAGGAGGCATACATAACTTAGTTTACCTGGGCGAGTGGATCATCGCCTGCGCCAGGCCAATGTAACCTCGAATCTGTGACCAAGATGCACAAACATTTCATCACTTTGGATTGTATGTCATCATAAAGCACTAGGCTTGTCATTTACGACGCAAATACTTTCACACCCAAGCACAAACCCTGTTGCAATACATGACGGCGCCGGGGCCCAATGCATCCCCGTTCCTCCCAGTTTTGTATCACCCGGATTGTCACAACACATGGGCTGCATCTATTACTGTGTGTTGAGATAGCGGGCCGCTATCTCAACGATGCTATTAGCGGCACAACCTTTGGCTGACCCTAGAAAGCCTCGCGCGGGGGCTAGGAGAGAAATCACCCCCTACCTATGCTAGCAATAGTCTCTGAGGGCAGGCTTGGTTTTTATGCCGTAAAAACTGATCGCATTTACGTTTTTACGTGTAAAAATAGTTTTTACGTTTTTACACGTAAAAATGCGTAAAAATACGTGAACACAATGTAAAAACTGGCCGGTGTACATAAGGACAGTACATATAGACTTACGGAATCCGGAGAGTGGCAGCCAGATGATCTGGAAGGGGAAGAAAACAAGTTTTCGTTAAACGCCATTATCACCCTTGCCAAGGGCAAGGTGGGCACTGTGTTGCGGGCGTGGAGATGGTGGAGGACTGATTATAGTATGCAACTTTCATCGTGTAACCTGGGTGTCCCAGGGAGCCGTAAACAGGCAAAAATAGCCGTAAAAATGGGGCCTTTTGCAAATTTACGTTTTTACGCGTAAAAACGTAAACGTAAACACAAAAACCAAGCATGTCTGAGGGCACGTTCAACGATCTTCCTCAACGTGTGTACCCATTCCATGCATTTAGGAAAGTGGATCGTATGTTTATGGCCACCGTTAGCTGAGAATCTGCCTTTCAGTAGGTTGATCATAGGAGGGTAAACGTAAACATAAAGAACAAGCCTGCGCATCAACAAACTCGTTGCAACAAGGCCCATTAACGTTGCTGTAACTCCATTTCGATTCCCGGATGTTCCCTTGCACACTGTGCAATGATGCGCATGTGTCCAGATGAGTACCAAACGGCACGAACGGCCTGCAGCCAGCCTGTGACTTGCGGCAACTCGGCGCCACCGGAGGCGCGGCATGCACATTGCAATGGACCAGCCGGCGAGGCAAAGCGCGAGAACCCCGCCGCCGTGATGCACGGGCCACGCATCAGTGCGTGCGTCACCATCCAAGGGCTGCGGCTTGACGGTCTGTCGGCCCTACTAATCCTTGACGGCGACCATCGTTGGGGCTCGCGCTGCGACTCCAGCAGCCCACGTGGCGCAGCCCGTACGCTACACCGGGGCAGCTGTCAGCGGCGACCGACGCATTCATGAACAACCTCGACATTGCCTGGATCCCTGGCATCGCGCAGTCGCCTCGGCACCGTGGGAGCGTCGTGCTGGGGCCTCGCGTCGCGCAGAGCGTGCCCGGGCTCTGCCCGCCGTCCTGCCATGGCGGCGGTGCCCCTGTTGCTCTTGGTTCTCGCCTTGAACGGTGCGTTTGTGGCGCCGCTCCCATCTGCCAGCGAAGCGGGGGCCGAGGGCCCGGAGGTGGCGCAATTGGCCCCGTGGGCAGCGAGCTGCCTTGGAGCGTCCCGGACCTGAGTCTCGAAAGCATTGACTGTGTCGACAGGCGTCGGGCTCGAGGCGAGATTGGAGGGCAGCCGCGAATCGGGCGGCAATACAGGTGTGTGGTTTCGGCGGCATTTGCGCCGGCACTTATGGCGAGTCACTGACCGGGTTGCCACGAGCGGCGTGCGATCCCTGAGCGCAGCTGCTTGCCTTTGTCGGAGGAGCTGCTGATCGGAAACGTCCCCGGCCTGGTCGCCATCCGGCTTCTGATCGGGTGCCAAGAGCTGGATGACAAGGCGCTGAATTACTCGGTCGCTGGGGCCGGTCGTGGGTACCGTGGCCGGACGGAAGGCCGGTTCTCCGGGCGACGCCGGCAGGCGCTGATGGGCGCAGGGGCCGCGCGATCCAAGGGAAATCTTCGGCAGACTGGGTCGAATTTTGGCTGGGGGGAGGATCTGGGGAGCAGGCGGCAAGCTGTGCTTTCTGGTCCCGCTGTCCCAAGCAGAACACCCACGTGCTCGTCTGCCGCCGTGCTCAGGAATCGGGTCCGACGCGCGCGCTTGAAGTCCGGGCCGATCGCAGCGGTGGAGGCGGGGAGGGTTTGGAGAGTAGGTGGCAACGTGTGGGTGGCGTTCTGTGGACTGTCATACGGCGGCATGTGTGCGATTGACAGCTCCTTTCTGGGGCGCACCCACGAGGAAGGCCCCACGTGTCACAACCCTTGCTCGCGAGCAGCAATGGGATTGGTGGCGGGTGGGCTGGGAATGGTTGCATGGGGCAGGGAGTGGCGTGTGGGGTTACATGGTGGATGGAGTCGTTGCCGACCCTGAAAGAGCGATCGTTGGGCATATGGGCCTTCTGCCCAGTTTGTCTGCGCGAGATGATGGCATCACCACAAGGCTCGACCCCATGGCCGTGATATGTTGGAGGCGATCTCCTGTTGCAGTCCTGTTCCTGGCTGGGCGTACAATGGGCGAGGCTTGTGAGGGGCTGTCCCAGATTCAATGGCCCAGTCCATGCAGCTCTGCTACTCTGAGGACCTCCCCATTTATGGCTACTGTGTGGGGGCAAAGTGCAGATCGATGCAAGAAAATGATCGGATTGCTCACCCAGCATCGGTTGCCCAGCCATGAATCCATAGCTGCAAGCACCATGTGCCGCCAGGGCCGCCAAAGGCGCATCCATTAGACCAAACAAGTCCACTCTGATAACACTTGCCTTCTGGGGGCAAATCGGTGCCACGCATCTTGTAGGCGATGCAGGGCATGCAAGCATCCTCTATGTGCACCGTTTAGCATTGGCCCTGCGGCTGTGAGCAGTTGCAGAAAGAAGGTGGAGCTTGTGGATTATCCAGAATGTTTGTCGCTGGGGCTATGTTTCTTTCTGTTCTCAACAATGAGCATTATAGGGAAGAGTGCCTTGCAGTTAACGTGCTCCCATGGCCTTGTGCTGCAGGAGCCCAGGTCCACAGAGAAGGACTGCTGGATGCCAGGCGCCTCTTGCAAAACGTGTGTTGCTACAGCTTCCACCTTGAGCATCCTGCGCCTCTGCAAAATACTCAACTTGCCATGCCGTTGTCTTGTCTTGTGCCGTTGTCTTTGGCTTGTGGCCCTTCCTATGTGTTCTACCTCTGTGCTCACTGTCACGATACCCTTGGCCTTTTTGCCACTGCAGGGAGACGAAACGACATCAGATACGTCCGAGAGGTTGGAGCAGGTATGGTAGATAGATCAACACCTTTGGCAGCAAACCTTCTACAAACTCTTGTTGGTTTCTGGATGCTCACTGGGTCCTCTGACTACAACACCACTGGCGAAGACACAATATGACATTGTCATTTTGTGATGCGCATATTCTGATGTTGCCGTTTTGTGTTTTAGCCTTGTCGACGGGCCCACAGAGTGATCTCCCGCAACGTACAAGCTGCGGTGGCTTGTTCGCCCTGGCCATTCTGAAAAATAGAGTGCACAGAATTCGGTGTACGGGCCTATAGGCCACCCCAACTCCCACGACTGGCCGCCCATCCCAGCCGGCAACCAACGTTCGCACACCAATCCTTCCCCAATTTCACATCCCCACCCCCTCGCACACCTTCGCCGTCCACGTGTCCCTCCGGACCCGAGCTCTCCGGAGCCCGCTCGGAGCGCCCCCCAGCGTGGAAACTTCACCCTTGCGATCTTTTTCAAACCCCGTTCCTTTGGGCCCGCGGCACTCCCCCTCCCCGCACCCAGCTCAGCAAAATGAGGCGCCAAGACGGGTTCCAACACTGGTATTTGTACTGGTACAGTACAATGTTGTACCTCGAAATTGTTGTGCTATCGCAGAGCCTCCTGGGCGTTGCCGGCGCCCCGAGCGACGCCTCAGCGGCGGCCACAGTCAGCGACCTGCTGGCCGACGGCGCCAGCCCGGACGCCTGCTGCGACTTCAACGGCGGCACGGCGCTGCACGTCGCCGCTCGCAGCGACAATGCCGTCGTGGCCGGCGCGCTGGTGGACGCGGGCGCGGAGATCGATGCGAGGGACGAGCTGGGCAAGGCGCCGCTGCACTACGCAGCGCACGAGAACTCCACGGAGGTTGTGCGGCTGCTGGTGGGGGTGGGGGCGTCGGTGGACGCTAGGGACGACAACGGCGAGACGCCGTTGATCAGCGCGGCCAACGGAGCACTGGAGGGGCGCGAGGGGAGCTACCTGCAGGTGCGGGGTGCCTTGGAGTGCGATCCGAGCGGGATTGATAGTTTTTGACAGCGGCGATTATCAACATTGACCATGCCGGCCAAGTTCATGTTTAGGGGAATGGGTACATCCGCTGGTTTTGCTGTGGCGCTGCTTGGGTCCCCGAGGTGCTTAGGAAAAACGCAAACTTAAGAACAGATCGACGACCTGTTGGGCCCCTGGCCCTCTGGAGTCAACCCTGCAGGTCCTTCGATCTATGCGTCCCTTGTGAAATCTTGTCTTACTTTTCGCGTTGTGGTTGAGTGATTCACACAAGAGTCCGGAACGTGCAGGTGTTCTCCATCCTGTTGCTCCTCACAGAACAAACTGCTTTCCTCCTTTCAAAGAGTGATGCACTGTATCGCAAGAAAACTAAGTTTATTGCATTAATGTGTCAAGCATGAGAATGCGATCATTTTCAGGTGTGTGCCATCCTGGCGGACGGCGGCGCGGACGTGAACTTGAAGGACGACATGGGGATGTCGCCGCTGCTGCTGGTGGTTCAGTCCGGCGACGTGGCAGTGGCGAGGCTGGTGGTGAGGGTGGGAGCGGACGTCAACGCCACGACGGAGGACGGAAAGACGTCGCTGCACTTGGCCGCGGAGCTGGGCTTCGATGAAGTCATCAGAGTGCTGCTGCAGGCCAACCCAGACGTTAATGCCTTGGACGACAGGGACGAAACGCCCCTCCACGATGCGGCCAGGTGCGGCTTTTCGCTGTGCGCTTCTTTTGGGGGAGTTTTGAGTGGGCACGTGGTTATCTAAGTTCCCTTTCTTAGTGATGCAATGAATGAACTGTCTAGTGTTCTACTCTGGGAGATTGGAAACCGGAGGATTGTATTGCCTTTCGCCTCACTGCCTGGTCTTTTCATTGAACTCGTCGTTGACACTGCTTTCCCAGTGCAGGATGGGCAGCCGACCGCTGCCTCCCTGACTCTATCCGTGCAAACAGGATGCCGACGTCTATGTCCTTGCCTGGTCATGTAAAAATTCGTGAGGACGATGATGGTGATGACTCTATCTGCCAGTTTTCCTGGAAATCGACAGACGCTTCTTGGTAATAGGAATTGATGGATTCCTGGACTCTGTTGGTGTTGTGCATTAGATTTCGATGAAGCGGCCATGGACGCGGCTTTGTTCGGGCAAAAAGGGAAGCTGACAGGTACTTCCTTGCCTTGTTATGTTGACGAAGGCAGGCAGGGTCGAGGGGTGGCGACCCCTGACTGGGGAACGTAGGCTCGAGTGCACGGCAGCGGCTGACAACGGAGCAAGCGACAACAGGAATTCTGTTCCTTATGTCCGATCCGTTCATCAGTGTCCAATTCCTACTGAATCATCATAGCTTCATTCATCCAGACGTTAACAATACTCGATCGGCTCTTATCACAACAATGTAGAAACTAATGATCTTGATGACAGTTCCGGGCTGACTGATCGACTGATCGACGCGGCCAGGTTCGACCACTTGGTAGTGGCGATGGCGCTGGTGGCCGCCGGCGCGCGCGTCAACGCGGTGGACGACGACGGCGAGACGCCGCTCCACATCGTCACCAAGACCGGCGCCGTGGACTTTGCGCGCTTCCTGCTGTCCGAGGGCGCGGACGTCAACGCCACCGACAAGGCCATGGAGACGGCCCTGCACGACGCCGTGACTGGCCGCAATGCGGCAGCCATGGTGGCGCTCCTGCTGGGCTCGGGGGCCCAGGTGGACCCCAAGGACCTGGACGGCCGGACGCCGCTCCACCTGGCCGCCCAGCAGGGCCCGGAGTCCGTCGCCGCGGAATTGATCGAAGGAGGGGGGGACGTGAATGCCGCCAACGACAACGGGGAGACGCCCTTGCACGTCGCGGCGGAGGGGGGCCTGGAGGGGATCGTGGCGCTCTTGGTGGATGCGGGAGCGGATGTGAATGCCACGACGGATGCTGGGGACAGCGCGCTGCACCTGGCGGTGCGGGAGGGGGATGGGGAGGTGGCAGGGCTGCTGGTGGCGGCGGGCGCGGACGTGAACGCGCGCAGCGAGGACGGCCAGACGCCGCTGCACGACGCGGCGGAGCGGGGGGACTCGGAGATCATCGGCCTGTTGCTGGAGGCGGGGGCGGACAAGGGCGGGAGGGACGACCAGGGCAACAGGCCCAGCGACGTGGTGTGCGACTTCGCTTGCGACTTCAGCACCAGTGTGCAGGAGTTGAGGGAGCTGCTGCTCTGAAAGGAGGGGTGGGTGGGGTGGGGGTGGTCTTTGCCGGGTTTGGACCATATCTCCGAGAGGGGGCCGCTGGGATAGGGGAGTGGCGGTGGCCACCCAGGGGGTAGATTTTGGCGGGTGGTGAATTCGGCAGCGAGGAATCCATGCGCCGCTGCAGGAATAAGAGGCGACGAGGGCGCCGCCCGGGGAGGCCTCCATTATTTATGAATGTTGTGGAGCCGCTGGGCAACGTGAAATAAAGCTTCTTATAATTAAAATGCGTGCTTGTGCGCGGTGTGTGCCTCCATGCATGTGTCGCTCTCAGCAACCTCGAGCACCATTCAAGGAAGAGCTAAGGGAACTGCTGGGGTCCCCCCACTATGGCATTAACAAGGTGGAGGTTGCAGGTACATCCGTGCAGGGGAGGATCCAGGATATTGGAAGCCACCGAGCACAATTTGCTGGTCGTGGTGCGCGCTGCAAGCACGGTGGTACTGGAAAGTACTTAGAACACGTTTCGAGTTCGGAGCACAAAAGGCGCACAGCTCCTTTAGCAAGGAGGCATTTCACCTAGCCACGACGCTGTGAACTACGCACCCGGGGGAAATTCCACGCATCACACCTCCCCCGTCCCATTCCTCCCCGGATCCAGGTATGCGAGGACCATCAAGGGACTGAAGCAACGAAAACGGACAGCTCGAAGTACAACAGTTCGAAAGACGCTCGTTATTCAATCGCCGTCTCCTAAACGCTCAAACCTCCAAAAGGCAACGCGGCGTCCCACGCCGAGGCAGCAACCATCCGGAAACTCCTGCTCCAGTGACACGCCAAAAATAACTACATGGGCCCCCCTCCCCTGCCTATGCCAGCAACTCCCTCAAGCTCAGGTCCTGGTCGCTGCCCTTGGCACACGCGCGTATGGACGGTATGGTGCCGCGGCATATGACCTGCTTGGGCGTCTTCTTCTTGTTGTTCTTGATCGACGTGTCCGCGCCCTCGCCCACGAGCAGCTCCGCCATCTCCACAAAGCCTCTGACAGCCGCCATGTGCAGCGCCGTGTCCCCGCGCTTGTCCACGGCATTAACGTCCGCGCCGCCATCCAGCAGCACCCGCGTCACCTCGTCCGCGTTGAAGACCGCGGCGCTGTGCAGGGGCGTCACGCCGTCGCTGTCCGCGGCGTCCACGTCGGCCTCGGCGTCGATCAGCACCTGGGCGAGCTCGCGGTTGTTATAGAACGCGGCGAAGTGGAGGGACGTGCGGTTGAACATGTGGGCGTCGGGGTCCGCGCCCTTGTCC